TGGCCTGCCATCAACATCTAAGAAAGATTTAGAAATGGAACAACATAATTATGGTAAGTATATTCCTTGGTTTTTATTATTATTATTATGTTAACATTGCTTTCCATTAGTTTTTGTGTTTTTCTCCATTAGGATTAGTTTGTAACATGTTTATGGATCTTCATTTAAAATATGGACTAGATTTCTTCTCAATATCATTAATTAAGAAACTAAGATAGATACTTGGTAATAAGATTGTCAAGGAGCCCTGGAGGTAGAGTCGATTAAGTATTGGGCTGCTAATTGCTTAACCATGATCAGTGGTTCAAAACCATCAGCTGCTCCTTGGGGGAAAAGATGAGACTTGGGAGAAAGATGAGACTTTCTATTGTCATTAAAGAGATACAGTCATGGAAAATCCACATGGGCACTTGTGCCCTGTGCTATAGAGTCACGAGTCAGCATCAACTCAATAGGAGTGAGTTTGGTTTGAATTAACAAGATTGTCATTGTTACTTTTGCTAGTCATGAACTCCAGGGTGAATTTTACTGTTATTTCTTTTCCCTGATGTTTACATTAAAAAATACAATGGAAGATTTTTTTATATTGGCTTAGTTTGACATTGCTTGTTTCATGTGTTTTCTGATGGTTTAATTAGTACAGTTGTCTCGATTAGGAAGTAACCAAAGTAACTAGTAAGTTATGGATCTCATGTAAATATTTGGTTTTTAATCCAAAAAAGCATGGAAGATTGTTTACCAAAGATACTATTCTTAAAGATAATATACTGAAATTATAGGACTTTATTTTTCTACTTATCCTAAGACATTAATTTGATATTAGCATTTCTTTGTTCTTTAAGTCTTTATTTTTAATATCAGAAATAGTAAATAATACACATAAAAAATAATACTCCAAACACCATTCTTCCCCCCATTATGCTACTTAGAGGTTTTCTGTTTGTTGTGTGTGAGTATATATTCTCCCAGACCTTATTATATACATATATAAGCACATTCTATTTTAAGTCTTCATCATCTAGTCAATAACTACTATTGAAAGTAAATTATTATATATAAAGTCTTTAGACTAGACCACCATAGCTTCTGGTCTTGTCAAGATAGCTTACTAAGTTTGAACATGAAAAATATATACCATATTTGGCTATGTAGCATTTCATAACACCCATCATTCAGTTAAACCAATTTCTATTTAATCATGCTCTAGATGTTGAGGTTATTTTGATTTTTTCACTTTAGAGAAAATACTAGAGTATGTATCTCTGAGCACTTGTGTGAATATAGGATAGACTTTTAGTAAGTATTGCAAATGTAGTGAGTGAGGACTCATAAGTGGTTTTAATTCCTGTGTCTGATGGTCAGTGAGAGTACATAGCCTTTTGGAAAGCTTCTGTTCGTTTCAGTACATTTTATTTGGAAGTTTGTCTTCATCTTGTGGCTAGTCACCCTTTGACACAAGTTTTTAATTTTTGAAACAGAATTTACTCAAAGGCTTATTACCTATAAGAAAGGTGGGCATTTTATATCAGTGTGCAGTTCTAATCTTGAAGTAAAAGTAGTAGTTGTGTTTTATGTTTTATTGATGCCTCAGGCCCTCGGAGTGCAGTTTGTGTAATAGTTTTTCTACATTATGAAGAGATTACTGTAATACCAAGTATAGCATATTAGTTACATCTTTTCATAGCTTTTTGCCATCCCAGGATCCCTTTTTTGGTAATATAACTAAACTATTTCTAGTAAATGTTTACTGTATTTTTATATAAAAAGCAAGCATGTTATACATATTTTGCAAGCTTTGTTAACTCCTCATATGTTAGATTCCTATGGACATTATATTCTCTCCTATGGACATTATATACTCTTCCCAGTCCTCTCTCAAAACCCAAATTTAAATCTTGCTGACAATAAAATTTGTGGCGTATGTTGCTATTTTAATTTTGAATGTCTGTCATTTAAAATATTTCTTCTAAATCAATAAAAAACTTTTATAATACACAAATAGCTGCTTTTCTATTTTTTCTTAAAAGATCAGTATTGGGATTGACCTTTTTTCTTTTTTAATGAGTTATTAGTATTCACTCCAGGTAGAAGCATGTTGTTTTATGATGTGTATACTTTCCAAATAGTCTGCTTGTCATAACAACTGAAGTCACTTTATCTCTACTGTGTAGTCTTGAAGTGGTACCACAGAGCAACCATTGAGCTTTCTAGGTATCATCTGTGTTACTTATATTCTACAGTGACAGATAGGAATAGTCATGACAAACCATGTGGTCTGAAAACCTAAAATATTACTATTTTGGCCTTCTTAGAAAAATGCTACAACTATTCTATAGCATTGAGAAAAACAGCAAAAAATTTTGGTACCAAAGATATCTTTAAAAATAAAATTTTGATTAAAAAAAATGAAACACTGTTTTCATTAGGGAGATTTTTAATGGTTAATGTTCCTGTTGAATTGGTAGATTTACCTGACACTGAAGGTGGTGCATCTAATGTAGGGTTTGGGAAAATCTTTCCAACACCTAATATGAACATCATTGAGGAGACTAAAGAAGATTCTGATGAAATGCCATCTGAATTTATTTCTAGAAAGGATTTGAAAAAGGGCAAACTTTCAAGAGAAGGTAATTTCATGAACTAATCTAGCATTTACTCTGTTTTACATTTCTTTAGATAAAAACGCAACACATTCTTTCATGTTATCTTAATTTAAGGCACATACTACCGTCTCCAGTTAACATTTTTAATTACCTCGTTGTACTTTGTTAGAATGGAGTTACTTTCGATATGCTGGTTTACTTTTTATTTTTATGGGAAATTTTTTTGTTTTAATTCCCCAAACTTACATATATATTTTAAATAGATGAAATACAGTTGCTAGACCACCAACTAAGATGGTTACATTTTTATTTAATATTTTAAAAATGCTTTCATGATTAATCATGTCTGCTTCAAGATTTTTTATCTAACATTTTTTATATATTGGAATTTTGCTATATTAATACATTTTAGGAAATTATTTCAGATTTTGGCTAGACATATATTTAATGGGAAATACACTCCAAGCTAGCATTTTTTCAGAGAACATCTAATTGTCATGAAAATTAGTAAGGATATTAAATGGAAGATTTTGTTGGAGACAGGGATGATCAGGGTACACTTTTAACTGAAATGTTTAATCACTGTATATTTTAATACTCCATTCTTTCTGATTATAACAGAGGCTGGTAGCTTGAGACTTTTATTTCAGTAAAAGCAATTATACAAATGATTGTTAAATATTAATTTACTCCAATCTCTTTAATACATTAATCCATTTCAAAGGATTTTTTAAATCAGACAAATTTCATTGTTTTGGATGCCTAAAGATTTTTTTTTAAGTTATACCCCATCCCCAGCACACACACACACCCCCAGCCTCAAACCAAACATAATTCACATTTTTATAGGGCATTTTTGGTAGGAGGCATGACTTCATTGCTAACTTCAATTACTGTATTTTAACATTTTAATAATGCTTAATTTGTCTTAATAGTTTTTTTAAGCATCTTAATTTTATAATCAATTTATGTTTTATTTTCTTAAATAAGAGATGGAAACACATTCGCTTTTCAGAAGTTATGAACCTGGTGAACCCAACTGTAGAATTTATGTAAAGAATTTAGCTAAACATGTTCAGGAAAAGGTAAGTTGAAATGTATAAATTGATTTATTGTGTTACTTTTTCTTTTCCTGGTTTTCTTATTATTATTTTTCTTAATTTCCTAGGAGCTTAAATTTATTTTTGGAAGATATGTTGACTTTTCATCAGAAACAGAACGCATAATGTAAGTGTTAGTAATAATATCACATTGTGTTTTACTTGTACTTACTACAAATTTACCTTTCAGTTCCTTCCCTCAACCTCCTCTATCAGCCACTAACATTTTCCTGTTAGAGGTCAGAATTGTAAATGTTGGTTCTCTCTGTTATATACCATATATACTTGAGTATAAGCTGACCTGAATATTAGCCAAGGCACTTAATTTTACCAACAAAGACTGCATTTAAAATGTGCTGAAAAACTCGGCTTGTACATGAGTATATACGTAATTAATCTTTAGGACATCTATGACACTAGTTGACAAACTTTTTGTGTAAATGACCAAATAATAAAAATTCAATATTTTTTTCCTTTTTTTGGCCAGCTATGTGGTATCTGGTTTTTGTTTTTTTAATAAATCATTTTATTGGGAGCTCTTACAGCTCTTGTAACAATTCATACATCAATTGTATCAAGCACATTTGTACTTATGTTGCCATCATCATTTTCAAAACATTTTCTTTTACTTGAGCCCTTGGTATCAGTTCCTCTTTTTACCCCCTCCCTCACCCCCTCCCATTCTCCCACCCTCGTGAACCCTTAATAAATTATAAATTATTATTATTTTTATATCTTACCTCTGGTGTCTATTTTAATATTAACTTGTGCCATTATAATATAGAAGTAACCATAAACAATATGTAGATGAATTGTAAAGTTTATTTCTAGAAATAGACCTGGTGCTCACTTTGGCCCAATCTCTGCTCTTGAGCAATTGTTCCTGCGTCTATCCCTTCATTTTACTTTTCATGGTTGGGGTAACCAAATAAAATGCACTGCCAAGTAGATTCCAGCTTAGAGTAAGTTACCCAATAGGACAGAGTAGAACTGCTGCCCCATAAGGTTTCCAGGACAGTAAATCTTTATGGAATCGAAAGCCTCCTCTTTTTCTTATAGAGTGGCTGGTTGGTTCAAACTGCTCACTATGTATCAACTACATTACTAGGACTCGTATGTGTACATACTTATATAGACTAGAGGGGTTCAGAAATTTTGTGAAAAAATTCCTTTATCTTTTTAATTCATTGTCTCGCAGAGTTTTTGAAGAACCCTCATATGAGTATATGCATTCTTTCCTTTGATTTCCAGTGTTTTCTATAATTAGAAAATGAGGAAATTGTTCATTATCCACTAAACTATGGAAATTAAAATACTAAATTAATAATTGTTTCCCAGAGGACTTTCATGTAATTTTCTTAGAAAGCATCTTCGTATATTTTTGGTTTCAATATAATACTAAACAAAAGTTTATATGCTCGTGATAAATAAACTTTTATTAATTATTGGCAGTTCTTTCAATGTAAGTTACTATCTGAATTAATGGCTTTTGAACATAGCTTTCTCCCCAAAATCTTGAAAAATAAGTACATACGGATTATAAAAAACTGCCAAGGATTCAAAATTATTTGTCTCTGTCTCTGAGTTCATTCTCTGGTGTGATCTCGAAAAAGTAAATCAGTCACTCTAAGTGTTGCCTGTAAAGTGATAATTTTGACAAGGTGATCAGTAAGGTCCCTTCCTCCTCTGAAATTCTATACTTGTTTTCTCCGATTCTTGCCAGACTTTCAATTTTTAGTTATGTAGTTTTAAAAAAAATCATTTTATTGGGGGCTCTTATAGCTTTTATAACATTCCATACATCAGTTGTATCAAGGTTATTTGTACCTATGTTGCCATCATTTTCTAAACATTTATTTTCTATTTGA